TTGGAACTTATGTCAGTTAAAAATAGCACAAAATGACATATTATCAAAATAATGAAAACTGACCCACTTTAAAGGACAAGTGCGTAGCAACGAAACAAGAACCCAAACTTTGCAAGCATGCATCTGATACCTCTGGAGTGGTTTATTATGCAGTGCAAATTTCAAACAAAACATCCTCCCCTTCTGGGACTTACAGTGCTTCAAAGTTGGGCAAAATTTCAGTTTTTTTACACCCTTAAAACAGTGCATTGTATTCAGAGTGCCCAAGACCTCAGATTTTACTGAACATTGGCTTTACTGCTATTTTATACAAGTTTAGGCATTGCTCTGATCAGCACATCTTGCTCTTGTCGTTACGCTAAAGCACTGATCAGTTATAGTGCCCTAAAGTTAGCCAATTTCTATGTTTTGTACATGCCAAAATGTGGACAAATGCCCTGAAAACTTCTTTGGCCCGTTGCCATGGCAACAAGGGGTTCTGAGCAAAAAGAAAGCTATTCTGAGGGGTTATGTACCAAGTACTATCACTGTGCAAAAAATGAGCCAAATCTATTTTTTGACCGGTGCCACCATTGTTTGATCCTAAATGCACGACACTGGGACCTGCCAGGGATTTGAACCCAGAACCTTCGTATCATGGGTTCGTGTCACTCTTGCCTACCGAGGTCCCTGTATCTACGCGCTTTGTCGCAAACGGTTCTTGGCCAGCCTTACACTTTTAAGACCTCAAAAAAATAGAAAAATTGTACAAGTAGGGAGTAAATTGTGTTGTAGAAGGCAGCTGGCCAGCCCAGTGTGGTACCACAGTATCACTTTATGGCCCTTTATTTTTAGACTGAATTACAAAATTTACATTCCCATGTTCGATTTTTGTTTTTCGAAATATACTTTCGCCCGAAGGTCATTCACAAAATTGACCTCCTGTGGTCTGAATGAGATCACCGGGTTTCAGGTCCCTCCCCTACGAGTTAGGGGATGAAATCAACCCCGTTTTTCTCGGTAAAGGAAGAGCCCGAGGCAAACTGCGAACATGGCGACCTCCCGAACAAGCGCGACCTATATGCGCGACCTATATGCGATGATGATGACGTTTTTAGCCTCTACCAGGCTTGGGGAGGCGGCTGGAAAGAGTAGAAATCGGCCAAATAGAAAGATAAGCATGCCAAGGGA